CAAGGGATTACAAAAAAAAAAATCCCCCGGAACAAATGGCTTCACTGGGGAATTCTACCACACTTTTAGGGAAGAACTAACACCAATCCTGCACAAACTCTTCCAGAACATAGGAAAAGATGGCAAACTCCCCAAATCCTTCTTTGAAGCTAGCATAACTCTGATACCAAAACTGGGCCAGGATCCCACAAGAATCGAGAAATACAGACCAGTATCCCTATGAACATCAATGCAAAAATCATTAACAAAATAATGGCCAACAGAATACAAAAGTATATAAAACAAATACTTCACCATGACCAAGTGGGATTCATACCAGGGATGCAGGGATGGTTCAACATATCAAAGACCAGTAGTATCATTCGCCACATTGACATGAAAAACGATAAGCACCACATGACAACATCGATAAATGCAGAAAAAGCATTTGACAACATCTAACACCAATTCCTGTTTAAGACAGTTGAGAAGATAGGAATGGAAGGGAAATTCCTCAAGACAATACAACCTATATCTGAAAAACCAACAGTCAACGTGGTAGTAAATGGAGAAAAGACTAGCACAATCCCACTGAAAAAGGGGATCAGGCAAGGATGCCCCTTGTCTCCACTCTTATTTAATATCGTGCTGGAGGTTTTAGCTAATAGCATAAGCAAAGAAAAGATATCAAAGGTATTTGTCTGGGGAAGGAAGAGGTGAAACTATTGTTATTTGCAAATGATATGATTTTATATATGGAAAATCACAGCCACACATCTGTGCTTCAATGTTAATTGCAGCACAGTTCACAATGGCAAGGAGTTGGAAACAGCCCTAATTTCCATCAACTGATGGGTGGATTAAACAACGGTGGTCCATACATACAATGAAGTACTATGCATCGCTAAAAAGCAGTGATGAAGATATGAAGCACATTGCTGCAGGGGAAGAACTGGAGGAAATCATGCTAAGTGAAGTAAGCCAAGCACAAAAGGACAAGTACATCATGAGTCCGTTGAGGTAAGCTTTAAAAAAAAAAAAATGCAAAAGGGG